GGACGTAATCCTTTTTTCTTCCCCAAATTCTGGGTCTGGGTATTATTAACCTGGATAGTATCAAATGGAGCGAATGTCAGTCATATTATTATCCTGTAGAAAGAACAATACTATTGAGAATTAGTGAATCTAAATATTTTATTTTTACAGGAAATCGAAAACCATGGCGAGGAATTTTGCTATTCGGTCCACCAGGAACGGGTAAATCGTACATAGCGAAGGCAGTAGCAACAGAGGCTGATAATTCAACATTCTTCTCAGTTTCATCATCTGATCTCATGTCAAAATGGCTCGGTGAATCAGAAAAGTGAGTTCAGAGCTGGTCTTATGTGCACCAACAATGTTGGGATATAACTTAATCCTGCAGAAGACGAATTGTTTCACAAAATCTTTGGTGTCTTTCAAACAAAAACGAATGAGATGCTAACCATATCTATTCTAGGCTTGTGAAAAACTTGTTCATTCTTGCCCGGGAACATAAGCCATCTATCATATTTATTGATGAGGTCTGTCATTCATTCGTTAAGAACAAGAACCTATAATTCCATAAATCTGTGGTTCAGATTGATTCTCTTTGCTCATCCCGATCAGACAACGAAAGCGAGAGTGCGCGTCGCGTAAAGACTGAGTTTATGGTACAGATGCAAGGTGTTGGTATGGATAATGATGGTATACTTGTACTTGGTGCCACAAACATTCCTTGGATTTTGGATGCTGCTATAAGAAGGTAAGATTGAGATACAACCTCTTACTTTTATCTGATCCTTCCTAAGTGAACATAGGTAGGGGATAATGAGAACTGTAGCTGTCCATTTTTAACAAAGTTTTCAATCATTCTTATTCTTTGCAGACGTTTTGAGAAAAGGATTTATATCCCTCTTCCGGAGGCGAATGCTCGCAAGGATATGTTTCGCCTAGATGTGGGACGTAACAACAACAACCTCACAGAAAATGACTACAAGGTAGACCAATTTTTCCTAATTTTATTGCATTTACAGCGATTTTGTGATGCTGATCTACTGAGAAATTCTCACATTGTTATTGAAACTCAGTCTATGGAGTGGTTTTAGATCCTTGCCGAACGAACTGAAGGTTATTCCGGATACGATATCAACATTCTTGTCAAGGATGCCTTAATGCAACCGATTCGTCGTGTGCAATCCGCTACACACTTTAAGTAAGTTTGATCCCATCATTGACGATGTGTAGTTATGCGGAAATGAAGGAGAGGAACCACAAGTCTATCAATAAGCCATCACTTAGAAAGATCTTTTCAAATCTACTTTGTTTTTTATTACAACTGAAAAAGCTGGTTGCATATCACTTACCCAAAATTTGTAGAGTCTGCTTATCTTTGGAAAATAATGTGGGAACTTCTTTATGATAAATAGACTCTAGTTGTGATTCAATCATCAGAATGTTAAATGAAGCGGCAGTTTTCAATTTTCAGTTCGTTGAACTTATAGTTTTTTGACTTTGAAGTGTAACGTCACTTTTTCTCTTATAAATCGAACCTTTAGCATTTAGCATAACCATATGCGTCCTTGCTCGAAAATTTTTGATTTGTTTACTTAAGTGGACCTGCAAAGCTTTTTTCCCTTAGGGCCCTACCTACTGCATGAGGATGAGAGCGTTATATCTCTGTACCCTAATCTTTATTGCAATTCGCCTTTAGATATGTGAGCGGTCCATCCCGAAAGGATCCCTCTGTGATTCTTCATGATCTGTTGACTC